CCGGGAGGGGCCCCCACCCCGGCAGGCGAGTGGCACGGGGGGGGGGCTGAAGAGCCCCTTTTGCTGCGTGCCAGGGAGGGGGGCTCTCCCGTCGGAGCGCTGCAAAGCTGCGGGCGCTGCAGGCTTTATCGCTCACCGCTGCCTGCTTCCCAGATGGTGCTGGTTCAACCCCAAACACGGCGACCGGTTCTTGGGCCGGCTGAACTGGTTTGCGACTGCTGAGAAGCCCCAAACAGGCCATGTTTTCCACCCTTTGGTCTCCATTCGGCTGTGGGTGTTTTTGTGCAGGGGGGGGCTGCGTGCGGGTCTGGCCGCGGGGGTTAGGAAGAGGTCCGATGCTGACCCCGCTGCCTTTTTTCATGTCTCCCCCAGGGTGGACAAGACCACCACCTACCCCTGGAGCCTGCGGTGAGTACCAGCCGTGCACGTGGCGCGCCAGGAGCCCAGCTCGGCTCTGGATTGCTTGGGGAGCGGGGGGGGCATCAAAGCGGCCCAAGCCAGCCCCTGGACTTCTGCCTTCGCCCGTGCCCAAGCGAAGGGGGCCACTGCGAGGGTGTGGGGTTTCTCCTGGCCTCTCACATGCAGGATGCGCAGCCTGGTTGCATCAGCGCACCGCCCTGGCACATCAGCCCTCCAGGGAACAGCCGGCCCAGCGCCCTGCCTGCCCGCCTTTTCTCTCTTGCACAGCGGGCGTCTCTTCCAAATCAGAGGGTGCTTTGTTATCTCTTATCTCGCCCCCCCCACAAGGCCTCGACAGCCACCAGCCAGTTTTCACAAAGAACACCCAGCCCCTAGCCATGCAAAACTTGAGCTCCCCCTCCTCTTTTTTGCATTTTGGGGGAAGGGGAAGGTGCCCCCCCAAACGAAGGGAGGGTGCCAGCTGCGCCTCTGTGCTCCAGCTCTCTGCCCCAGTCCCTCCTCCCTTTCCCGCCTGCCAAAGTTGGCCCTTGGGCTGCCTGGGGGTCCGCCCGGCAGTGGGGGACACTCTGCCCCGCAGCCCCGAGGGAACAATCGGAGCCACTCATGGTCCTCCTTGGCACAGTGCCCGCTTGAAGTGCTGATAGGATGCCCTTGCCAGCCTCGCTTGAAAGCGGCATCTGTTGCTGGAGTTTGGAGGGGCCTGGAGGGCTCTCCCCGCCCCCCCCCCCGGGGCCGTTCAGAGCCCTGTCCTAGCAGGCCCCGCAGAGCAAGTGTTCTCCGGGCGTTCGCGTGAGCGAGCCAAGCTGTGCAGAGAGGAGAGGATCCGCTTGGCCCGGGGACGGCGATGACCCTCTAAAGTAAACGCGTTTATCACCTGCCGCATCCCAGATCAACCCCGTCCCTGCCTGCGGGCTGCTTCCGTGCGTGCGCGGGACCAGCACCCCCATGCTCCTGAGCAGGAGAGCTGCAGTCCCACAGACCGTGGGGCTGCCCTCCAGGGAAGGCAGAGAGTCCACCAGGAGGGGCAGAGAAGTTGCAGGACCTAGAACAACGTTCCTCGACCTTGGCAACTGTAAGATGGGCGGACTTCGACTCCCAGAATGCCCCAGCCAGCAAGAGGACAGCTGCCCGCTGGGGGCTAAGGTGGCATTGCACCTGTTTGTTCTTTCAGGCCCCCGGACTTGGGGGTCAGAGGTCGAAGCCCCCCCTTCAACAGCAGAAGGGCCAAATCTCAGCTGCACCTTGCAGAGGGAGTCTGCCCGCGGACAGACCCCGCCCACTCCCGTTGGGATGAGCGTCGCCATCTGGTGGCCACCCGTGGGAACGCCTGGCCCAGCCCCTCCGTTTCTCCTTCCCCAGCCGGGCGCCCTCTGCATAGTATATGTAGGACTGCAGTTCCCATAATCCACACAGGCACCCTACGAAACCCGCAGGACGCACACCCTGCTTCCTTTCTCCTCCTTCCCCTGCTGTCTCCCTCCGGTTTCCTGGGTGCCCTGGGTCCAGCTGCCTCCCTGCAGCCATGAATCCCGAAACCCCTGCTTGATGCCGGTCTGTTTGGGGCTCTTCCAGGAGCCCCCAGACTGCATGCAGATCTCCCAGTTGGGGCGTGCATTTATTTGTGAAGGTGTTAATACCTCTGCATTAAGGCATTGAGTCTTTCCTTGGGCTTTCTTAGGCGCTTTGATCCTCCCCACGGCCGGCTTTAGTTTCTCCATTGTTCTGGCTTTTAAGCCCCACTTTACATCCGTGGGCATGTGAGTTCCCCCTTCTTGGGCACCCTCCAAGAAGGCTCAGCTTCCTCCTTTGCTGTTTGGATCCAAGGCACGGCTTGGCTTCTTCTGCACCCGCACGGGGTGCAGCCGAGCGCGTCCTTTTTGCCGTTCACGTGAGGATGCTGCAGAGCGCCCAGAACGGGCCGGGTTTGCCCCAGCGTGCCCCCTGTGGGGAAGGCCCTGTTGCTGGGGGGAAGCAAGCGGGAGAGGATTGCAAGGCCAGATGGGGCCGGAACAAAGATTTGGGGGAAAGCGGAGCAAGGCTGCAGCATCCGTGGGGGCCCTTCCCGCCAGGGTTGAACCCGTGCCACGTTCAGAGCCTTTGGGGGGCCGGGAGGGAGGCTCTCGTCCCCAGAGCCTTCGGGGGACCTGTGGGGATCCCTGGGGCCCGGAGCCGGAGGTTGGGCCTCCATGAGAAACGCCAGGTGGCTCTGGGGAGTGGGAGGCATCCGCTGCCTTGGCAGCCAGATGGCCCCCCCCCCTGCGCAGGCGGCTTGGGTTCGGCACACGGTTTGTCACCACGATGACGTGATTGCTGGAGGGTAATTGCCAATCAATTACTGGTATCTTGTTGCTATAGAAACCCTGTAGACACACTCCCGTGCTTTCGGTGTTCCTCTGGCCACATCAGCCCCGGCCCCGATCCCACCTGCCGGCTCCCGGGCATGGAGCCTCTGAGCGTACGCTGAGTGCTTTTCTGCCTGAGCCCAGCTGGCCCACCTGCGCGTAGGGCTGGCCGAGGGAGCAGAGGACTGGTTGCCGTTGGCATCTGCCTCCTGTTGCCAGGGTAACGCGGATGGGGAGGGGGCTCTGTCGCCCGCTGGGCGTTCCCTCCCTTTGGGAAGCCCTCCCCGAGGGTGTGGCTACCAGAGGCGGAAGGGGGGCGGGCAGGTGTCCCCGGGTGAGGTGAGTTTGCCCATGAAGGGCAAAGGGGAGGCTCTCCGGAGAGGGAGGCCGTCTGGGGGGGCCGCTGGACCCCTCCAGCAGCCAGGAAGACCCTACTCAGGCGGCTAGCCATTCAGGGACCCTGCGGGGCGCCCTGGGTGAGTTGCGAGGGGTGCTCTCTCTGGCCCCCAACTACATTAAAACTTTGTTTAATGCCTTCCCTGCAATTAAAACATTCATGGCGGTTGGCAGCTCAGGAGGGAAGCAGTGCCTGGGCAACTCCGGGCCTTGGACCAGGCTCTGGCGGGGGATGATGGTGCCGTGTCCAGCGTGATAGCCGCGACTGCTGGTGGGGGTTCCCTGCACCCCCGAGACAGACACCTGCCTTTCCTCTTGCCCCCCAGGAAGAACGATGGGCCGGCCCACGCCTCCCTCAGCGGAGCCCTAGAGCTGCCCAGAGTGATCTTGCCCCCTGCGCACCCCACGTTCCTCCGTCCCAAGGTAAGCGTTTCCGTGGCCGCCTTTCCACAGAGCAGGGTGGCCGGCCAGGAGGGGAGGGCGGGGGACTGTCCCGCCGTGTTGGGCCCCGCGGCTCGCACCGTGGACGCGCGGGGCCCTTGCCACCCTTCTGGGGGTG